AAAAACGCCACGTGCGCCACGTACAATGTACAAGGACGACAAGTCAGACCAGGAAACATGACTCGTCTAAGCCTCCATTCATTCATCCCATTAATTTCGAATCAGCTTTTCCAGCGCTGTGGTTATGAAACTCGTCATACATCCCTGTCCGTATCTACATGCTCAAGTATCCTCCATATGTCTATCTATCTAGCTCGCTGGCTAACTCTTATTGTTATCGCCCTGGAGTAAGAGGTGCGGCTTGATGAAATCCTCGTCTAGTTGTCTGAATAGACCCGCTGGATCTTCTGCACTCCAAAGTTGTCGAATAGCTCCGGTGGCAGTCATGGGCGTGGGCTGCGATGCCTCACCAGCCGGGCTCATAAAGGCACTGTCCGTTTGAGGACAGGGCTGTGAGCTGGTGTGGCGGGCAGGACGAGCTGGTGGCGGTAGGTCAGACGTGTCAATGTCTGTATCAAAGTCGGAGTCTTCGCCACTACGGCCAAGCAAATCTGCCCTCTCGAACTCATCCTGGTTACGGTTGGAATTCTTTCGGTTAAGACTATTTCCTCGGATACTTTGGCCGCTTCCAGAGAGGTGCGGTGACCTGTGGCCAGACACATAACTAGCGGACCGACCTTCCTCTAGGTTGTGCAGAACAATGTTGCCATTTCGCCGGGGTGTGTAGCCAATGCCGCCGCCCGAACGTTTGGCATGGAGACCACTAGCAATGGTTTCAATATCAAACTCGTCGTCGCTATCAATCTCCTCCACGACTCCGGTCCGAATGCCTAGGATCTCGAGCATGCGGGCAGTGGTGCCACCAAATATAATGACGGTTAGGACAACCACAACCAACACAGTCGCCCGAAGAGCGAGGGCATTATCACCGGTCAGAAGTTCGGCGAGAGCCACGCCGACGGCGCCGCGAAGGCCCGCCCAAAAGAGCATTGCCTGGTAGTTGTACGGCAATTCTTCGGCAGCTTCAACACCACGCCGCCTGGCGCGATATGAAATGAACCAGTTGATAGCTTTAGACAGGGGGAACACGGCGACCCATCGAGCAACGCAAACGGCTAGAATGGTAATCATAATAAGGGGTGGCTGGAATGACAGCGCACTGTCGGTGAACAGGGCCAGACCAAGATAAATGAAGATGAAGTTTTCGGACAATTGTGATATTACTTGGAAAATGTATTTTGTGGTGAGTTGGGTTCGGCGAGACATGTTGAAATAGGCATAATGCTTCAGGGTTATACCACAGAAAAGCAAGGACACGATACCTAATCGAGATGAGCAAAGTGAGGGCGACATGTAATGAGCGGAACGGAATAGCACATACCAGACAAATGCACACCTTGGGAGAAGAAGTAGGTGGCATAAGCTATCAAGAAGACGAGACAGCTTTCAATCTTTGTATATCGTCTGAGATACGTAAATTTGAGAAGCAAGGCAGTGCCGATGCCGACAACGATGCCGATGAGCAAACTGCTGAAAAAAACCAGCAAGAAAATGCCGGTACCTTCAAAGAAGCTGAGGATTCCATAGCTAGATGCTTCGCCCTTGTTGTATTTCTGCGCTGTCTCAAAGATGACAATGGCAATGGCGTCATTAAGAATTGACTCGCCGAAAATAATGGTATACAGCTTCGGATCAACCTTGTAGGTATTGAAAATAGCCAAGATTGTGACTGGGTCAGTGGCAGACAAGGTGGCACCAACAGAAATTGCATCAACGAATGTCATCTTCAGGGTTCCGGGGATCAGGGAGTATAGCCAAAGAATGAATCCAATGACGACGGCAGACAGAAATGTTCCTGCAAAGGCAAATGTAAGGATTGTGCCGATGTTGCGGAAGAAGTTGGCTTGATGCAGCTCGTATCCAGAAGAGAGAATAATCGGCGGTAGTAAGAGGTTGAAGAAAATTTGATAGTTGAAGTTTATCATGGTCCGAATCGAATCGCCCGAGGTGACAATGAGAATCAATCCAACCGTCATTCCTACGAGTGCGGCGCGGCTCAGTCAGTTCAAATTCCTGTCAAGACAATGACGACAATTGCGCCAAGTCGCGCACCAAGGCTCTTCGGGGAATGCAATTACGAACCCGCAAAGATTGAAATGACTGTTTCGTGAATAGCCGTCACTTTCTTTATTTGGAGCATGTAACTCGTGAAAAAGGCTGCAATGAGCAGCAAAATGGCAATAAAGATGGTCCATGCCGCGTACAGTTCCTTGGTCGCGCCATCGCCCTCTAGAAGTTTGTTGGTCAGCAACGAGGTTTCGTCCGATAGCGCAAGATGAAATTGCATTTCGAGGAGAATCGCATGAACTTGGGGTCGACGAACCTTCCTCGCTGTCATCTCGTCCTGTCGCGTTGGTCAAGTCAGTCTCGTGCCTACTTCTCATCGGGTGTAGCATGGCTTCTCAGTGTTCAACATACGTAGAAGTTTCAGGCCCAGGTCGGCGACTTCTGTGACCAACTCCATGGTCGGCTTAGATATTCGATACCGGCACGGAGTTGCAAGTGAATAGACCAATTCGGTGGGTTTAGGTGAAACGGTTGGAGGGAAGGGAATTCGAGCAGGATGGAGCTTTGGAGCTCTTGCGAGAGCCTCACGGCGGGGCCAGACAGAGCATGAGTTGTCGGTGTGTGCGTTTTATCTCTGGGACTTTCTGAGGGCGCGTCGTAGAGCAAAACCCGGTCAAAGGAAATGAAGGTTTGCGTCGAATAAATTGTAAATCGACGACGATGGAATGGCACAAAGTGACAAGGCCCCAAATGGATCCGGACCGGATTCGAAGGTTGACGTGGAAGGTCGGAAGGGGTTTGGCGCGGCCTGGGCTTTTGGTCTTGGCGGGGCCAAGGCATTCGGCGCAAAAGAAACATTTCGGCAACAGCAACCGTTGGCCCAGGTGGCACCTGCTGTTCTTGCCGGCTGGAGCCTGGCGTCAGGACAGGGTGTCCCTCCTGATCTGGACGCTGAAGGGCACATGCCCACACGTGCAGGTCCCTGCCGAAAAAGTATCGGCTACTTCCAGCAGGGCATTCCCCACACATTGAGCTCAGTATCCGCGACTTGGAAAACTTTGGAAGTGGCAGAGACTTGGAAAGTTTCATCGGCATCGAGTCCCTGCTCATTTGAGCCACTTTGAGACGGCGCCTTCAAATCCCCTCTGGTGTGCGAAGGCTCCAATGCGGTATCTGTAGGGATGTGTATCTAATAAGAAGCTGTATTATTAAGGATACATATATTTACTAGTATATTATGTGATAATAGAAGTATCTATGAGGAAACTTATTATTAATCGCTATATCATGATATACTAAGATTTAGACTGCTATAGTGTCACTTGAGGTCACCGGTTGCCTACAAGGGTGATGTGGGGCCCGCGACCTCACTGGAGCCTTCGCACACCAGAGGGGATGGTCAGTAACCTCGAGACGAACCCCACGCAGTTCCTCGGAGCAAAGTTCAGTAAAGAACACACATAGATTCTTGAGTGTACAGGTATAGTAGGTTAATTTAATTTGGATGAAGCATCATAAAGCCAGCAGCGTAGCGCACTCGAGCAAACCCATTGTCACGTTTGACCCAATTGATCGCAAAGCCTACGTTCAAAGTTGAACATGGAAGGTCCGGCCAAGCCCTGCCCCACCATTCTAGTGCAGTTGAGCCGCCCTTGCGAACAAGGTCCCCTACAAGTGGCCACAAGCCGCCTGAACCTCCACGAGAGCGACGCCGAACTGACCGTTAACATGGAATATCACCAGCATACCGATCCCACGCGTCCAGTTCTCTCTCACCACACACCACAAACTATACCCGTCCTATGCAGTCTGCGCCATAAAAATTTCCGCATCAGCGTCTGTTTTCCTGTTTGATCCAACAAATGAATGCGCCTGTCTATCGAACCAGCTGAGCTGTGGTCGAACGACACAACGGCCCGTCAAGTCCAGAAACATGTACCACCTCGCCAAGGGCCTGTATCTCTACGCGACCAGCAAAGAAGGTCTGCACCCTCCTCTACCAAACGAAAGGCGCAGACGGCAATGAAACTGACCAGCAATACCGACAGAATACTCCGTCATCCTCCTGGGCCTCGATAATGCCGGCAAGACCACGTTCCACGAACAAGTCAAGTCCATGTACCTCCCCCACGGGCCGGAACCAAAGCTCAAGACCGTGCCGACCGTCGGCCAGAATGTCTCGACGATAACCTTACCCGACATGTATATGAAGCTATGGGATGTCGGCGGCCAGCTGTCCCTTCGCAACCTCTGGCAAAGCTACTACGCCAGCTGCCACGCGATCGTCTTCATCATCGACAGTACGGACATTGGCGACGGGTCGCTTGAGGACGATGACAACGGCCGCTTGGAGGAGTGTAGACTTGTACTCGAAGATGTGCTGCAGCACTCGGAGACGGAAGGCGTGCCGCTACTCATTCTCGCGAACAAGCAGGACAGGGAGGATTGCGTTGAGACTATTCGCATCAAGGAAGGCCTGGTGAAGAAGGTCATGGAGGGCGATAAGGCGAGCAGTATTCGCGATTCCAGGGTATTGTCGTTGAGTGCGTTGACTGGAGACGGCGTCAGGGAGGCGGTGGATTGGGTAAGGACAAGAGTGCAGTGGAATAAAGAGTCGAGGCCGCCAGTGATGAGGTGAGAGAAGGAAAGGGATATTTTGCAACAAGAAATGGAGTTTTGATTTATTTTTTATTACATGAGCTACGGACCATGATTTTAGAGAGTGTGGCTTAGCACGGCGTCTTGGCCTGGATAGATTTAAACGGAGATCATTGTACCTTTTTTTAAGCAGCGAAATGCCCAGGATATCAACTTATGTTGCAAGGTATAAAATAGCATGAGCTTGTAACTAGGGGGTATCAAGATGTCTCGGCTTTTTTTTTCTCTATCCTGCCATACCGTGATATTGCGCCATGATGAAATAACAAACAGAACAGCCTTTCTCTTTTCTTGTTTTGGAGCCTTCGGCTCCAATATATCCCGCTCTAACCACATCATCTATCATTATCTGCCTTTAACTCGGCCATCAACCCTCCCTTATCTCTCCTCTTCCCATCCTCCATTAACTTCCTATCCACCAGGTCCGTGAACACCTTGACCCTGTCCAATGCCAACTGCGCACACCTCACGAAGAGGGGCGCGTCCACATCCGCACCCCCCAGCTTCGACACCTGGCATATCTCGCCATGCTTGTTCAGACTAAAGGTACAGCTGGTCACCCTCAGCTGCTCCTCCAGCCACGTGGTGTCCATCAGCACCGTCTCCCCGTCGTGGCCGAAAAAACTAAACGTCACGCAAAACGGCGAGTGCAGCCAGCTGAGCGCCACGGGCTCCCGCTCTGCCGGGGTGTAAACGGTCAGCGTCTCGCCGTCCATGGTGGTCTCCGGCTTGCGAAAGTGCCGGAGGGCGGCGACGACGGCGAAGCACGCCACGTCGAGGAGGTTGCCGTCGTGCGAGAGGACGTGGACGTCGGCGCGGACGGACCAGCACTTCTGGCCGGCGACGAGGCAGAGCGACTCGGTGTCGAGGGCGCCGGAGCGGCGGATGGTCTTTTCGAGGATCCTCGAAAGGAGGACTTCCTGCTCTGTCGGGCGGTTCACTTCGAATGAAGGCGCCGCCATGGGGCTCAGTTCCGAGGATATGGTGAATATACCGTCAAAGGGGCGGTCCGTGAAGGGCACTGTTACCTCTGCCGAGACTCTGGCGACGATTCTATATGTATGTGTTAGTGGTGGCTGTAGTCACATTATTACGTTTGGTATTCAGGCTTGGACTCTTTTTTTTTTTTTTTCATCTTGTTGGGGGGGTGTTGGAAGAACATGCCTTGTCTTCCCGCACTTGGCATCCGCAACGCCAAACTCATCTCCAAAAGTGAGCTCCAAAGGCCGGAACTGTTCAAACTTGCGATTGTCTAGGCGCAGACCTTCGTCAAGCGCCTTTGCGACAAAAGTCTTCTCGCTCAGCGACGGTTCCGCATCTCGTGGCATTGTGTCTGTCAATTGAGAAACAGGAACGGGCCTGTGGCAACAGGCTCCTTCAGTATGTATTGAAGGGGTTGTTTTTCACTGGCTTTGCTCATGGCGTGTATGCTCAATGAGTGACGTGGGGTTGAAAATTCTGCCGGGCGGTGGAAGCCAAACACCGATGGAGGTGATGAAGGTTGAACTGATGGTGGGGACGGTTGTGCATCTGCATAACTTTGAGCGATTGAGAAACTATACTATGTAGCGCATTTGTGAGTCAATTGGACCGTGGACTGTAGTCAGGATAGTGAAGGAAAAATTGCACCCTATTACATGACCCTGGTGTATTTGATGGTTGCTTGTGCTTTACTGGAAGATGCCGTCAATGTTGCTTTCGGCCTATTGGCTTGAAGCAACCAACTGCCGGGATCCACCTCCATCGGCAACCGAATTTCTTTAGAGGACGATTAATTTATCAAGTGAGAGAATAAGAAGCCGAAGATTAAATGGCAGCTGTAGTGGGAGAAGAGAAGGTTGTTTGAACCGACAGAATATTCTCAGCATGACACTATATCCATAGCACAGTGGTATAGCGCATACTTCATACCTAGGTGCCTATGCAACACCGACAAGCAGGCAGCGGCAAACTCCACACATCTCAACTCCGCCCGCCACCGCCGCAGCATCCTAACCCGTACCCGACGGCCGGTCTTGCCACCGAACCCCGAACACATGAATTGAGTTGCAGCCATGTTGAAAGAGAGCTTAAAGACTGGAGATAGGGGTTTAAGTCCGAAAGAAACAAGGTCATGACCCCCGCCAGCCATAAAGTGAATTGGCATGCACACGCCACAACCCGCGATGCCGCGTTGAGGGACCAGGGAGGGCACATGGAACCTAGATAAACACGGGGGTTGACCAGCTTCTCTTTCCCGCCCCGTGCCAAATAAACCAAAGACCACAACTACCACTCCTCCCTCGCCGCCCACCATGAGCCAGTCACTAAAGAGTCTCTGGCCTCCCAAGCCCCCTCTGACGGAGGCAAACCTACCGGACCAGACAGGCAAAGTCGGCACACGTCCTCCCCCATCCCAAAACACCTCGGGAAGCCTCGCCGTCCGTCTAACCGCCACCAAACGCAGGTCTTCCTCGTCACCGGCGCATCAGGCGGCGTAGGCGAGCAGCTCGCCTCCATCCTGTACCAGCACAACGCAAAAGTCTACCTGGCCGCGCGGTCCGAGGACAAGACCGCGGCGGCCATCTCCTCGCTCAGGCAGCAGCACCCCCAGTCCAAGGGCGACCTCGTCTTCCTGCCCCTCGACCTCGCCGACCTGGGCACCATTGCCCAATCCGCCGAGCGGTTCCTGCGCCTCGAGTCGCGCCTCGACGTGCTCTGGCTCAATGCCGGCGTCATGGTGCCCCCCGCGGGCTCCAAGACCGCCCAGGGCTACGAGCTGCAGCTCGGCACCAACAACATCGGCCACTTCCTCCTGACGAAGCTCCTGCATCCCGTGCTGAAGAAGAGCGCCGCCGCCGCGCCCAAGAACTCGGTCCGCGTCGTATGGGTGTCCTCCAGTGCCATTGACCTGGCGCCGAGCGGCGTCATTGATTTCCAGAACATGGCCTATGACAGGGACGAGAACGCCTGGGTCAAGTATGGGAGGAGCAAGGCCGGCAATGTGTTGCACGCGGTTGAGTTTGCCAGGAGGACCGAGGGCGAGGGCATCGTCAGCGTGGTGAGTGCAGGGAAATGAAAATCGGCGCGTAAAGTCTTTGACGAGGGGGGTGACGAAAGCTGACAGTTTTTTTTCCTCCCTAAATCTAGAGCTTGAACCCGGGTAATTTGGCGACGGACTTGCAGAGATCCATGCCGGGATGGCAGAATTTCTTCTGGACAGTACGCTTTTTGATCAATCGTGCGAAATCTCGAGAGACGGAGGTGCTAACTGAGAGTTGTAGAATTTCATGGCGTATCCCGCCAAGTTTGGTGCTTATACAGAGCTGTTCGCAGGTCTGCACCCCGATGTTACTGTGGAAAAGTCTGGCATGTTTAGTAAGTTGCATGTTTTAATTACATATTCACCATCGTGTCGATTGGTTTCTTTCTAACCGGGTTTTAGTTGCGCCTTGGGGGCGGCTGGTTAATGCCCGCAAGGATCTGTTTGACCCCGAGCTAGGGAAGCGGTATTGGGAGTGGACAGAGGAGCAGGTCAAGCCGTATGTCTAGGAGCATGAGAGACTTTTTTTGGATTATTGTTTTTGTATCGACTATGCAAGTCTGCAAGTCAGCATCTTCCTGATTCTGATTGGTAGGCGCATTGTAATATTCCACCATCGAATCAATTGCTCTGTGTTACAGGTGCTATCTATCCCCTCTTGTGATGGTCCTGCCATCCGCACCACACCTTGAACCCAAGTACCGCGTGGTTCGATTCATGTACAATCTGAAGAGAAATGCCTTTGTACAACATGGGAATCCCGCGACCTGCTACATGTCGTCCGCACCATAGCTCACAGTGACTTGACGCCAGCTTGCATGGCTTTGAAATGGCTCCAGTCGTGGCTATCTTGAGCCAGACTCCAAGCCATGACACCGCCCAGCTTTTTGGCAGCTACAATCTCCTTGAATTTCCGGGCAATAAGATCGGGAGCATCCCAAGTCCAGTACTGCTTAGTGGACGAATCCCAGTACCACATTCCCCCCTTGGCCTTGTCCTCCTTGCCATTCTGCAGGGCTTTGGTAAACGCAGCTTTGCTGTAGTTTTCGATTTCAAACGTGAAAGCCCCGGAAAGGTTAAGGTCAGAGCCATCGGGAGCTTCGAGAACCGCCGTAGGGCAGCCAGTGGGCTCGGCGCATTCGACACCGTCCTTGGTAGTAAAATACTTGGCGTAAAAAGCGAATCCAAGATTCATCTTGCTGGCAGTCATGCCTCGCTTGATGTAAGTGTCAATAGTATGGGCGCAATCCACAACAGAGGTGTGGTGATTGGTAGCGTTGTCTCGGCGATTCATAATGTCATACGTCATGACCTAGCAACCACATATTAATTCGTTTATTCCCCAGCAACTGTTTGCCTACCACGGAGCGGGTTGTACTTACATTGACAAAATCAACAGCTTTGTCAATCTTGGGAACCTGCTCGGCCGTGAAAGCAATCATGTCACCCTCCTTTCCAGGAACGGCAATGGACAGTTCCTTTTCTCCAATAGCAGTCTTGATCTCCTGCAGCAAGAGTGCGTACGTCTCAATTTCTGAAACCTTCTTATCATTGGGAGTCTGCTTATAGTCTTGGCCGTTGCCGCCGGGATACTCCCAGTCAACATCTATCACAATGTAAGCAAACATTCATCTCCGCAAGCAACTACAAATGTCTTACCGACGCAGTCGTAACCAAGGGTTTTTACGGCGGCAGCAACGTTCTTGGCGTACGTCTTGCGCGTGGTCTCGGTGGCAGCGCCAGTACTGAAACCAGAGGTATCACCCCATCCGCCAATAGCCATGCACACCTTTGTGCCCTTATCAAAAAGAGCCCGGACCTGGTCCAGCGGCATAAAAGGTTGATACGAGCTACCAGAGTTGAATGTTGTTGAAGGAGCAAAGGCAGTGATGACGTAGTTTACGCCTGCCGTCACGTCCTTGGGGGGTAGTGTTGTCTTGTGCCATCTAGGGGAGGAGTTGTCAGCAACGCTCAGAGAGAGAGGGAGGCCGAGGGGTCTCTTTTTGCCAACTTTGGACTTACTGGTCAAAATACATGACATATCTGGGAGCCGCCGAGACAGCAGTGGCTGCCGCCAGAAGCAGAAACATGCATGAACGCATTATAAACCGTGTCCGATTCGAGTAATGGAAAGCCCACCAGTGGCTTTTAGAGGAGGAGATTTATGGGATGGAAGATGAAGTAAATTGCCGATAGAGATGTTGGGGACATGGCGGCCTTTAAATGATGGGAGTCTTTTGCCATTACAAGTTCCAGTCGGGGGAACGAAAATCACAATCGGCGGCTGGAAGGAATGCTGCAGGTTCCGCATGACAAGGCCTCATGAAACCCAACAAACAGAAACGGACAAAGAGATTGAGACCCAACCATGATGGTGATTCACTACCCAGGTAGGCAGTTGAGTCGATGCAAAATGAAATGGGGGACAAATGGGGCCTCCTGACGGGCCATGTAAGCCGAAAGCCATTGTCGCGTGCAACGTCGCAATCATGACAGAGTAGCGCAAAAGTATCAGGAAAGGAGGCGTCGGTCGGCGCATAAAGGAGACTAACACGGACGGTACATACATGTATGGAGTCACAAGTCGCATCGAAGAAAGGACATAGAGAGTGGCTTTCCGCCACGGGTCCTCCTATATGCCGGACAGGGGGCCAACTCAATGGCTGTTCTGGCGATGTGAGGTGATGTGGTGGTGATTGGCGATCCTTGACCTCTTTTCAGTCATGCAAGGCTTGAGCTTGGGCGCTGAGCCAGCAGATTGGCCAGTGCGCTTTTACTCCGTACCTGCCTGGCGAACAAAGCCAATCCGATTGACCACATGCAGACAAGGGCCGGCTGGCGCCAACTGCCAAGACCAGTTGACCCTTTTGCTCCCGGTGAGGCATGAGCAACCCCCACGAGGGCCCCCCCATTGGATGCTGATGCACGTCGACTTGCAGATGTGAATGTGCAGATGGTGCATAAAGGCTTGAACTATTTTCGGAGAGTCAAATGACATGGATCCGCCAAAGAACACTTGAGCCTCTTCTATTGTACAGATTAACTTGACATGTTGAAACACAGACGCATAACCGGGGTATGCGTGCCTGCTACTCCGTACTCCGTACATGCACAAGTTATGGTCGATTGATGCATTGCATAGCTGCACGGACGAGCTAGCATCACATCTCCCTCACCGAGCGCATCTCGCGAGAGCCAACCGGGAAAATCCACAGATGCCGAAGGCCAACAAGTCAAGTCAGTACTCCATAGAATCTCTAATATCAACGGTCAACTGATCGATTTAGCCGCTTACTTCTAAAGGTCGATGCTCCTAGCTACATCAGCGCCATCCCGAAGCGCCGGTGAGCACGGAAATCTTGGCGCAAAGAGGAGAGAGTTGCACTACATGGCAGAATATACTTTGCCAATGGATAAGTTTGCGCTGAAAATATAGTACAAACGGTATATCATGGTGCTGCGCGATTTTGTGTACCCTCAAGATATTGGGCATATCCTCAGGCCCTTGTATCCAAACCTGGCGGTTCCTCACTCAAACGGATCCTCTTGAAAGTTCAACATCATCATCATGGACGTTGAGGTTTGTTAATAAACGCATCTGGGACACGATATTCATCATCCAGCTCCCTTGAGTTTTGAGCTCACAAAACCCGTGCAAATTGCTTTGCTGAGGTTGTTGCTTTGGGCCATGGTGTGCAGTATCCCGGTGACTGGTATCCTTGCTACTTGGCTGTATCAAGTTTTGACTTGTCTAAAACTACGAGTACTCTCCCGATTATCAACGCAACATATTTCATCTATACAGCATCAGTACAAAAAGCCTCACGCTTCCCCTCCCTGCTAGGGACCGGCTTCGCAATCATGAACGAATGTCCAACCTCACAAGCCGAATTTGGCAAACACCGTGCCACCAACAATACTGTTTCATCCGAGTAGCATCACCGCACAGCGTTTCGAAGGCTCAGGTACCCGAGCATTCCTACTGGTTAGAACCTGCGGCCACAGTGGTCCGATCTGGGTGTGGTAGCCGCAATCTACATGCATACAGTCTTTGTTTGAGGTGGATCTGCGACCCGTAACTATTCCCGCCTTCAATCAAGCCACTTGTCTATTGTGCAAGGGCAGAAGAAGTAAACATCACTCGTTCACCTTCTACTATTCACTGCTGTCCGTCAAATACGTTCCTTGAGCTTTATTTTTGCCCATTATCAAGAACAATTGACCATGCTGGCCGGGCCCAACAAGCATGGATCTCGTACCCGGAGCACGTACACCATGACGTGGATGGCCTTGGTTTCATCTCAACATGCCCATATTCAATGCCGGGACGCGCCACTTGCAATGATGTGCATGTAAAACGCCTCGACAGGGAGATGCACCATCCTGGACAGTAAAAGCAGCAGACTTGCCCCCCTTTGTAGCATGTATATCCCGACATGGCGGCCTCTCGTATGCCCATATAGAGCCGAGTACCTCGAGTCGGTTCCTGTACCTCTCTGCTGTTATTTTCTCTGCCGCCAGCAGACACAAAATGGACGAGACCACGCCACTTTTACCCGGCGAAGACGGCGGTGATGGCGGCGGCGGCGGCTCCCAGCAGCGAGGACCTCGGTGTGCTTCATTCTTTCAGGCACGACGGCCGAGAACCATTTACTTTCTGTTGTCGTTGATGGTGTTTGGGTTGTCCTTCTCCGGGTCATTGGGCGACGTGCCCGTTACGAGATTGATCGAGGACAACCTCTGTCAGAGGTACTACGCGGCCCGGTTGGACGGGGCCACGCGCCATAACAAGATTGACGAGAGTCTGTGCAAGTCTGACGAGATTCAGTCGCAATTGGCCTACTTGAATGGATTGCTGCCCATGATAGAGGCTGTCGTTGGTAAGTGTACATCGTAAAGGGGTACATGTGAGGGAGGGACACCTGATTTTCCTAGGTCTTTTTGTGGCATTACCATATGGTGCGTACGCAGATAAGTAAGGGCCCCTTGGTCCGGGATCCCATCCCTACGTCTTGGCCAGACAGTTGTACAGGTCTCAAGTCAGGCATTAACGGCGTATTCAGAAAAGGTCGCAAGCCGGTCTTGTGGCTCTCCCTCGCCGGCATCTTCGTGTCGGGCTTATGGATAGCCGTCGTCCTAGCCCTAGGTCAAAGAATTTCCATATACATCATTCTCATTTCACCCGTCTTTGCTGTCGTCGGCGGTGGAAGCACCGTTTTGGTCTCGGCCATTTACTCTGTCGTGGCCGATGTTGTTTGCGAAGCAGACAGGTAAGACCAGCGCCATCAAGAAAGCGTTTTTTTTTACTTAACTCTTTTCTGATTCACGTACTAGAGTATCGGCCTTCTTGACCGTCTCGCTCGGGAGTCTCGTTGGCAATCTATTCGGTCCGCTAACCGCCTCGTCCCTCATGAGGACCTCGTCTCCATGGACTCCCATTGCACTCAGTCTGCTCATCCTGCTTCTCGCTATGGGAGTCATTGGTTTCATTCCCGAGACATTACCCGCGCTGAAGCAGGAAGAAGAGTGGAGCGTATCACGGGATGATTCCTTGTACGGCACCGTCAACTCATACGTCTGGGAGTTCAAAGATCAAATCAAAGAGGCAATCGGCATGATTAGGCAGCCATCGCTAAGTCTCATCTTGTTCGCATTTCTGTGTCCCTCCCCAGTGGGAATCGCCACCAGCGCACTCTTTATCCAATACGTCAGTAAGCGGTTCGATTGGTCCATGGCAGCAGCAGGCTATCTGCTCTCTGTACGGAGCATGGTGAATGTATTTGTTGTTTTGCTCGTTATTCCTGGGCTCTCGAAGCTCCTCGTCTCCGGTGTGGTGGTGAAGGGTTTCTCGGCCGGTGAAAAGGACCGAATCCTAGCCCAAGCATCTGCGTTTTCTCTGGCAGCTGGGTTCTTGCTTCTTGCGGGAACAACCATGCCCATTGTTATAAGCGGGCTAATTATCAAAACCCTCGGTGCAGGATTACCGTCACTGTGTCGATCTCTGGCCGCGTATCATACAAGTGCGGAAAACACGTCGAAGCTACAAACAGTGATTGGGATCACAGAAACCATGGGCCTACTTGTGGCAGCGCCGGGGCTAGCATGGATGTTTTCGATTGGCATGAAGCTTGGAGGAGTTTGGATGGGCTTGCCGTACGTGGTGACGAGTGGCTATTTGCTTGTGACAGCAATCGCATTGTTGTTTGTCAAGCTCCCAACCGACTCGTTTATTTTGTTAGAGGAGACATATCATTTGCAAGACGTGGCGCCGCATACAGCCTCAGTTCGCAGTTTTTTGTCTCATGGAACGATGCCGTACGATGCCGTCGAGAGTGGCTGTTGGCCATAAGCGGCCACGGAATTAGGTTCGTGGATTGATGAGCTGACATGTTCCGCGATGTGAGAGATGGATATTGCCGACCCTTTCTCCGTCATGTGTATTCTGTAGTTGTACCTAATTTTAGACCAAATTTTACGTACATAGGACATGGCGGTTCAAGATTGTTCATTCATGATGTATGCGTACCCACACCTAGGTAGTCGACGACGCGCGCGCAGTATCAAATACCACACCAAGTCATTTTGAAAAAAAAAATCAATACTAGAAAAAAATGTATGAATATTCCTTGATCTTGGACAACGGCCCAGATGTGTAAGTGGCAGAATCGAACATTGAAGCCATCCGTCCACCTCCCAGGTGGATACAAGTGCGTGGCCCAGTCAGGCAGTGATTGGCCCGCGCCAACGGCATCATCACTCCAAAATCAACCTCCAAATCCAACATTGAAACGCCAACTTTACTTCATCAAACCAGCCTCCTTCTCCTGTCGCCGCCATGACTACCGCACACAGGCCAACATTCGACCCTGTAAGAACATACCCTCTAGTCCGAATACCGAACCATCAAACTAACTCGCATCCTCCCAGGCGCGCGGCAAAGAAGCCCTCCGCGGCCCAGCCTACCACCAGCGCCTCCAGCCCGCCCACACGCAACTCAAGTTCCGCAAAGCCGGCCAGGGAGGCGACGCCGACGACGAACCCTCGCGTGATCTCGCAGCCGAGCTGCTCGCCGCCGAAGCAGTCCACTTCTCCAAGAAGAAGGGCGCGCCTGTCCCCGGCGACGAAGACGACGACCAAGAAAATGTGTCTGTTGCCGCGGAAAAGAGACCACTGCCGCCGGCTGGCGACGGAGAAGAGGACTATGAGGCGAAGCGGCGGAGGATATTAGAAGAAACGAGAGATATAGACGCCGATGATAGCAGCGAGGAGGACGACGAGGATAGCGACGACGAAAGTGAGGATGACGAAGACGCAGAGCTGCAGAGGGAGCTGGAGCGCGTGAGGAGAGAGAGGGAGGAGAAGAAGAAGCGAGAGGTGAGCGTGATATTTCAGCCTTGGCTGTTGTTGCGATTTTTATATATTTTTTGTTTGCCTGGGCAAGCTGCTAATTCGTGGAACAGGACGCAGAAAGAGCAAAAGAGGAAGAGGAAGCGCGCGAGAGAAACATTGCACTGGGGAACCCGCTTCTCAATAAGCAGGATTACACGATGAAGAGGCGGTGGGACGATGACGTTGTGTTTAGGAACCAGGCGCGTGGGACGGAGGACAGGAACAAGAAGAAGGAATTCGTCAATGTGAGTGTCTCCTTCAAGTGCTTCTCTCGGCAATACCGGTGACTAATAGCCCGTGTAGGATATGCTGCGGTCTGATTTCCACAGGCGCTTCATGAGTAAATACGTCCGATAGTGCGCTATAGATATCCCCCTTGCAACATGGTTACTTGCCCTGCTCCTCCGCGAGGAGCCTCTTCTCCATTTCCTGAAACGACCCCAGCACACTCCCGTACGTCTGATATGTGCCGTCTTTGAATCCTGCATCGACCTTTTCAACGGACCCCTCCTCCTTCCACCGCTTCCCGATGACTTGGTCGAATGTCTCACCGGCCTTGCGCTCCATGGCCCAGAGCGCCTTGTATGCTCCCCCCAGCGCGCACGCACTGCCGCCCACGTCGAGCTTGTACACGCCGTCTGCGGCCCCGAGCACGTCGCCTATGACGCTGGCAATGGCCGGGTTGAGCGACCCCCCGCCAACCAGGTAGATCCGGCGTGGCTGGGCGGGGAGTCCGTCTCGCGGGCTGTGAACCAGCTTCTGGGATCGTAGCCGCATGGACAGAGCCTGTGATTCCACAATGACTCGGGCATCGACTTCTTTGGACCACTCCTCCCGGCTCTCTTGTAAATTCCCGCCGTCGGAATCACACGTAAATCGCCACGTCCCTGCGCGGATATTCGGCACCGTCTCTCGCAGATAAAAGTACAGCCCAAGTTTGGCTTGGCCTCCTCCTTCCTTGGTCATGGCCAGCGGCGGCGTATCCATCACGGCCTTGTTGAAGGTCTCCCAGCCGGTCCCTCCGTCTGCGGGCTTAGGCAGTGCGTCGCGGACCTTTTCACGCGCCAGTCCACCGTTTTTATAGCACAGCATGAACATGTAGTGGCCCTTGGTGGTCGGGTGGTTGAAGAAGTGGTACGAGCCGTCGGGCTTGTACTTGGGCGTGTTCATCAGGAAAGTCGTCGAGGTTCCCAGCGAGACGATGGCATCGAGAGGGCGCAGCGGCAGCGCCAATATGGTGGCGGGATTGTCGCCTGTGAAGGGCACGATCTGGCAGTCTGGGTGGAAAGCGTACTTTTCCACAAAGTACCGCGAGATCTTGCCAAAGGGCTTTCCGCCGTCCACTTGCGGCTCGCCCAGCTTCTTGCGCAGGTCGTCAGCGCCGTCTTTGCCCGCCGAGAGGGCGAGCAGCTCCGGGCTGTACTGCTGGTTTGGAATGTCCCATAGATTCATCCCGCACACGTCGCTGATATCGAGGGGCGCAACGGCCCCCAGGAGGATGGAGGCGAGCCACGATGACACGAGGGATATGCGTGAAGTCTGGGCGTAGACCTCGGGGCGCACGCGGCGCATCCTCATGATTTGAGTGCCTGTGAATCTCTAGATATCGTCAGACAACGTTTTGGTTTGGGCGCAGGTCGGGCAAGCTTACATGATGGGCACCGCTGCCCGTAACCTCGGCCAGCTTCTCCCTGTCCCCCAGCTCGGCGTCAAAGGCATCACACTCGCTTTGCGTACTCTGATCCTGCCAATTCGGCGACCACTCATGGGCCAAAACCCCCGGGAGCTGGTCCACCAGCTCCTTGCTGGCGTCCAAACACCTCAAGACATCGTGAGCCTGGTGGTTCCAATACACACTGCCATGCTGTTGCCCCGAGCCGCTCACACCTCGGATCCGCGACATGGGCACAGGCATCTCCTTTGATAGACGATGGAGCACGAGGTCCAGCGACTCCATCCACATGGCGACCGGAGCGTAGACTTCGCCCGTGGAAGGACGCACATGAACGCCCTTCTGGATGCCATATTTGGAAAAATCGGCATCGAAATCGACCTTGGACTGAGCGATTGTTTTGAGATCCGAGTCTACAACGATTGCTGGTAGGATGAAGTTTAGTTGTATGACGATTTACATTTACTATGAGAGTGGCCCGAGGGTGACACCAGCTTACCCTTAAGTTGTTGGGTGGACAGGTCGAAGCCCAAATAGAGTGGCCCTTGGTCACTCATGATGCAATGGACCAGAGTAAGAAGAATAGGTGGTGTGAGAACAACAGCGATGTGAGACTGAGGTATAGGTGTATGAGAAGTTCGAAGCGTGCGTGTCTGGTGTTTGAGATGATTACATCACGGATCGACGCAAGACAGCTCTGATCCTGACGTCTAGAGATTTTGCGGGTCTATGACTTCAGCCAGAAGCCAGGTTTGGCCACGTCTTTGATGGAATACCGGGACCGGAAATGAGGGAATCGAGGCCCGTTGTTTTTTAATGTATGGATATCGTGCTCCGGATTTCTGGGCATTGTCCTCGTCGAACATATATCACTATATATATTTTCCGACGTCTCGCAGCAATCAATACAGCCGCCGGCAATTGAGTTCGGGTGTTTAGGCTAAATTGATCGGTATTGACGGGCCAGAGCCGACGGAGAAACGGGTTGTGTGAGTGGGTAGCCAAGTATGACAGGTGACAGGAGAGCGGATGGGTATTGCATTCGACTGTCAGGATACATGTCCAACAATTAAAAGAAATCATATACATCGTGTTCATGTTATCTTCTACCAGCATCTCGCTCTCTGTACGGTATTTTATCATCGAGTACATACATAGGTGGTATAGTCTAATGTCTATGCTTGCCATCTTTATCAACGACAGCGCCATTCCCAGCCTCCTCTTCCTCCTCCAGCTCCGGCTTCTGCAATGCTTCTGGCCCTGAAATGAATTCATCAAACCTCTCGTTTACAGGCTTATCCCGGGAGACAAACCGCACACGAAGCCGTTTCACCCCACGCACTTTGCCGCCGACCTGCATGCGCACCGCATCCTCCAGGTCCTTGACATCGTCCACCGTCCATGCACCAGGCACGGCCAATTCCATGTCAACCAGGTAATTCTGTCCCGATTTGGTGCCACTAATATCACGGAGCTCTGCTTCATGGCCCTCGCTCACGTTGGACAATGCTCGGTGTGCCTGTTTTCGGATAGAGTTCTTCACGTCGTCGTCGAGGCTGCGGTCTGCCAGCTCGTACAAGGCCTCCTTTGTGTTGTCGTATCCGGCCTTGACCACCATGATGGAAATGAGGAGACCGCCCACCGGATCCAGCCAGGCGGCATTCTCAACAATATTGGCACCAAGGATGGCGGCAAGAGTGACAATGCCAGTCAGGCTGTCGACACGGTGGTGGATGGCGTTGGAGGCAAGGACAGACGACTTGCGTTCCCGCGCAACTTTCATTGCTGCACGTTACGTTAGCTGCTTGCACATTCAATGCCGCACGCAAAAGGAAGGTGACATACTCGCTTGATAGAGCCATTCTTTGATCAGGATGGTGCCCGCAGCCAGCCAAACAGCATGAATGTTTGGGATTCCCAGATCGGCAGGGTTGTGTGAGTGGCCGTGGGCGTGGCCAACGTGCTCAAAAAGGTTGTGCGCGCCCTCAGGGTTGAAATGGCCGTACAGGCTGATTGCGCTCTCCCACCCCATGTAGAAACCGCCCACCAGCAGCATGCCCGACACGCCAAGAGAACCGAGGCTTTCCACCTTGCCGAATCCCATGGGGAATCGATCCGTCGGCGGTTTTAAGCTCCAAGAAACCGTGGCCAAGGTGAGAATATCGGAGGCGAGGTCAGCAATGCTGTGCCAGGCATCTGCTGTCATTGACTTGGAATTGAACGCCCATCCACCGATGAACTTGGCAATTGCCATGCCCAAGTTGGACAGTAGACCTATTCGCGTGATTCTTACACCGGGGTCGTTTTTATTGGCGGATGTCAGGTATGTGCTGTCGTGGTGGTGGTGATGTCCATGAGCGCCATGACCATGCCCGTGACCATGGTCGCCATGGTCGCGAGTCTGCTTCAATGCTGGACCCATGACTGAGGGCAGCGTGCGGATGTGTCCGCGGATAGGCGAGAGGTGAAGGAGTACGCAACGGGCGCCTGCGATGGCAGATGTTGGATCGACCGTCGAAGACGAGCACGCAAGGCGGCGGAGAGAGTTTGAAGTGGTGTAAACGGCCGCGGTGGACAGGCCGGAAGATGTAGAAAAGCGCGATGCCAACGTAGGGATCGAGGTAGCAACAGCCGAGGCCAGAGGTGATAGATTTTGAATGATGCAGCGAGCCTGTGCCCGCAACGACGTACGTGAGTGCAACAATCGTGTGTGAGGCTGCGTCATCTGCGAATGGGCTGGCTGTCGAAGTGTCCTTTGTAATCTCAGGAGGCTGTCGCCCTGGCTGTGGGCTGCTGCATAACCGCAACTAGGAAAGCGACGACGGAGAGGGCCGTGATTGGCATTGGGATGGGAGTTTCTTTTGCGGGTGCCAGTGCTAGTACTAATGCCGGTGATCTTAGTGGCCACACCCGTTGGCGTCACTTCAGACACGGGCGGAGTCGCGGACGCGGGCGCTCCAGTATTATTATTATGCACATACCGCGGTGACCTCGCTGGCTTCGATGACCACTTTGAGCGTACTTGTGCTTGTGCTTGTGCTCGTGCTCGTGCTTGTGCATGCGTGCACACGGCCAGGCCGGTGGAGCGCCCGGCCTGGGGAGACATGGACCGGTCGACAACTCGGTGCAACAGTGACCTTCGGTCGTCGTAGGCCCTCGTTTCGCGCGCGTCGACCTCTGGCTGCAGGTGAGCAAATGAGTTGGAGCTCGAGCCGTCGAGTGTCTGTCGTGACTGTTCCTAGGGCATCGAAACGTCGATTGGCATGGGAAGGGAAACGTAGCATGCTTTTGTTACAGAGGGAAGAAAAGTTGGTTGCAGTGAGGTGGTGACGAGCGAGAACGGCGGCGGATCGGGTCGGGAATAGACGAATTCGATGGGGCCATCCGTTCAAGTGATGCCTAGTGAAACTACAAAGTACTCCGTACCTGACACTTGAGAGGAGCTCCGAGTCGGTCATTTGGAGCGAGCGCCTTGGGACTCGGGCTTTTGTTTTATGATCGATTTTCTCTCTTTTCCCCTTTGTACTTCCCACGGAGTGCCGAAATATACTAGTTGCAAGTACCAAGGCCTCAGCCGAGCTGCACCAGACATGTGCACTGATTCAGATCGCTGTTCCTGCCCTCACAGTGGCCAGCTGGCTCATAGTACAGTGGGGTGCTGGGGAGTAGCGCCCCTTTTTGCGGGGACCGTTCAGCAATCCGGGCCATGTTTAGCGGGCATCGGGACCAGTCTCGGTCTCCGCCAGGCGGTTGACGCTCCAGTTCGGACGTTCCTTTCCATGTTGACTGAACATTGAACGCGTCCTTGGAAAACTTGCGTCAAGAATTTAATGATGCTTCTCATACAAGTCATCTTTTATAAGCGATATAAATACATATGTATGCAATGGTTCAGGTTAGGTCAATGCAGTCCATGCCCCATGTTGCAATCCATGTTGACGTAATGTTCCTGGCGGCAATCCGTGGCGGGCACGCGGGGGTGCCAACCTCACCAAGAATTGCATCCCATTGAGTGTGCGAAGGTGCAGCTTTTGTAGCGGACCGGGATGTGGGCCAATAAGAAGCCAATTATTAAAAGATACTTATTTTTCTAAGTAAATAATACAAGAATATAAGTATTAGTTATCTTTAAATATATATAAATATATTACTATACCGTAATAAAAGTAGGTATCAAATATACCAATTGATACCAGAAAAGAGTGGGCCCGCTACATAACCTGCACCTTCGCACACTCAATAGGATAAGCACCGTCCGAGCTCCGAGCTACAGAAACCTGTGAACTTTCAGCCTGAACGTACCAGGCACAAGCCACTCAATTGATTTCGAGCTCGAGTGCCCCCAGAACCAAGCCGCCGACCGCTGGCCTAAAGCACTCGTTTTCAGTGCTCCTTCCCGTCTTTCAACTCACCAGACAACCCCGACTTCTGTGGGGGAGCTCCATCTCTGTCTGCCAACCACGCTGAAGCAGTTGTCTGAAAAACTCCCCGACACTCGTCAGGGCTCCATCTGGTGGCCTGATCTCACCATCTCACCAGACGCCCCGACATCTCGGCGCTGCCCTATTCCGAGCAGCGTCTGTACTGTACTTACTAATATTCAGCCTTGGGCCAAGGATCAATTCCGCTTTCCGGTCGTCTTCGGCGGAACCAATTGATGCCGCAAATAGTCGACGGCACTCCGTACCTGCAGCGTTAAACCACCTTGATACAGGCCACCACGTCAAGACGGGGATATTCATCACATCACATGCCGTGGCCGTAGCAGCCACTGGCATCCCAGACATTTCTAATGCCGAAACCTCGTATGCGTATTCCTTACACGGACATTCTAGCATCGCCTACCATCCTGCCGGCCTCTGCTACAACCATCCAAGGTGGTCTTGCTGCCCTGGCCAACTTCTTCCAGGCGCCGCCTCCCAACAGCCTCCCAGACTCTACCGTTGTCCTCACGGGAGCTGGCCTATCGGTTGCTTCTGGTCTTGCAGACTACCGCGGTGTTAAAGGCACCTACAGAGTGAACAAGACCTATCGTCCCATTTATTATTACGAATTTGTTGGCAGTCACGAGGCACGCAAGCGATACTGGGCACGCAGCTTTCTTGGCTGGTCAACGCTGCACAAGGCGACGCCAAACGCGGGTCATTATGCCATCAGAGATCTGGGAAACTTGGGGTTGATTCGGAGTGTTATTACACAGAATGTTGATTCATTCCATCCTAAAGCCCATCCGCAAATACCTTCCCTCGAGTTACATGGCTACCTGAGATCTACTGTCTGCACGAGCTGCAAGACTGAGTTTTCTCGAGATGAGTTCCAGGGGCAGCTGGCTCGTCTGAATCCAAAATGGGCGGCTCTTCTAGAAGAGGCTATTGCCTCTGGTGCTTTGGATACAGAAAGTACAGAGGAGCGGAAATTCAAGGGCTTGAAGGCTAACCCCGACGGCGATGTCGACCTCCCAGAAGCACCATATACAACTTTTAGATATCCACCTTGTCCAAAATGTTTAGCTGATCCACCAGAAGATGCTAACGGCCAAAAACAACTTGTCCGAGTCGATTCGGATGGAGCTTGGGTGGCACCAAGTACTGCTGGTATTCTCAAGCCAGCAGTTGTCATGTTTGGAGAAAGTATTGCCCGTCACGTTAAAGCTGCTTCTGAGGATGCCATCGATGGCGCTGGCAGACTACTAGTTCTAGGGACGTCTCTCGCAACGTATTCGGCATGGCGGCTGGCCAAACGAGCCAAAGATCGAGGAATGCCCATTGCCATTGTAAACATGGGCGGCGTAAGAGGAGAGGACCGCTTCTTCACGGATCTAGATCCACGACAAGGGGGTGAACAGGGAGTGAGAGTTGAGTTGTTAACGGACCAACTCCTTCCTGGCCTGGTTTCTCGATTACGACAAACTGGAGCGGGATCCCATCACCACCCAGCCACGGAAATACGCCTGGAGAATTCGACCGTCTTCAAGGATATGCTGTCTTGATAGTGTTACATTATTTGTGTTATACATTTTCCGGGAATATAGACTGTTAGAAGAAATTGCCGAGATTCGCGGATTTTGGCTTCGAAGGTTGCATATCGGCATTTCCCTGTTCGTCGTCTGCCTCGGTATCTGACATTGGCGCCGCCGACATGATAGTCTTTGCAGGAGATTCCGGCTGCTTCACATTTTCTGATACTAGAGCTTTCTGTGACGCCTCGTCTCGCTCAATGGTTTTCAGCACTGGTCACAAAGTTAGCATCCAGCGTCCTAGAGCTGTTGGCGAAGCAGCAGACACCCACTCTCTTCCCAGTCAGCGTCTTTTTGTGATTCATCCGCGTTGCCCAAAAGTTTGTCCACATCGACCTCTTCACCATTCTGGAGTTTTCTCAAGGCCTCCCTCAGCTGCCCTATTCTAACGGTTGATTGCCGATTGTATCGTTCACACTGGTTGCGGAGCGCTATCATCTGAATCGACATGGAGCCAATGAAGAGGAACATGACGATAAAGAAAGTTGCCGGGTTCCATTCTTTCGACTTTCTCCCTTTGATTCCCTTGCGATTTTCTCTTCGCAGAGGTTTGGGTATCAAAGAAGTCCAGAATCCAGTGTCGACAATGGTCGCAGGACTTGTGCTGGACCACCGAATGGCAAGGTTTCTCTGTGCTGGTGTCCTGGATGCTAGTTCTAACCGGCTCAGGCCGATTAATCGCAGTGGTACTCGCTGGATCGACATTTCGTCAGGCTCCTTGCCTAGGCGGCGAGCGTTGTGAAAGAAGTTTCCTGCTAATCAAAGTCTGGGGTCTCACATGTGGACTTTCCAGGTTGGTTCATGTTGGCTGATTGTGGGCCAAGTGCGCCGCCAGTGAATCTCTTGCAGCGTTGCCCCAGACAACTCCCGACGTTTAGCCCCACCCACACTAACCATGGTTTGGCTGCACCAACACTAGATCATAAACCGTCGATACAGTCAGATTTCGACATTATACTCGGCATTGCATCTCGTCATTTTTGGTTTTTGGGCGATATTTGCATTTGTTTTGTCCTTTTAACCCTGTGGTGTTTTATTGCGACGATATGATTAGAAGGCCACGCACATAATAACCTACATGGCTTCATTACAAGCATCGGCCGACGCCGTGAAGGCAGCAGTATCATCGACCATGGCGTGCACACCAGCCACTGTTGTAACACTCAAAGAATTGCTCCTTCTCGAAACGGAATCATCTGCGCAGGTAACAAAATCGGCATCCAGAACGGCTAAATCAACTAGAACGGCGAAATCATCAAAAGCCAGCACCGCGTCGAGGAAACCTTCAGCTGCGCATTCACGTAGTGAACAATTGAACTCGAGAGACCGGACCATCCTAGCAACACACATCATCAATGCAACGTTAAAGGCACTCACGGAAGCTTCGAGACCTGCGCCTCCATCAACGCCTTGCAAACAGGTTGAGAATGTTCCTCAGTTAGCTTCGAAACGAACCCTACGGCGCTCACTATCGGCACCATTGTCACCAATGCAGCCGAGAACCTTGAATCGTGTGGCAACCTCACCAAATGTCTCTATAACCAAGGCCAGGGTTGGTTTGTCTGCTCACTCTACAGGATGTTTAGCGGTTGTCGAGTGCGCACGAGTAGCCTTTGCTTCCCTTCGATCACTAAAACCTTCAACACAAGAGGCTCAATACGACTTCCAGGTGGAAAATGGCATGTCTGCGTTTATAGGAAAACTCCTAGCTTTGAATATGCATGACCAGGCGTTGAAGGAATTGAAAATATTAAAATCTCGATTGGACCCTGCTACCGGTACTGAAAGCTCGAAAGTCGCTACATCAACGTCTGCCGAGATCAAGTTGGGTGCTACGCGGATCGCCGAACTACTCGAATTTCGGACAAAAATTTCACTCCAAACGCTTCCAATCATCACTTCTTTCCAAATCCAGCTTGTCAAACTTATTGGTGCTACGAAAAAACCTGCTCATATCGAGGCACTACTACCTATGCTGCTGGAAAAGCATGTATCGTCCCCTGTCAATCTGCTCTTAAAGCACGCGGATTCCGGAGACAAGCAAACTCAGAAAGCTGCTCGTCAAATGGCTTCATTTTCACAAGCCCTACTATCAATGCTACCAAGCGTGTCTAGTCAGGAGGATGAGGTGGCAGTTGAGCCCCGGTTAAGTCCCAGCCCACAGAGCACCTTTGAGCTCCAAGCTTTGGCATTTAGAACACAATTGAGGTGGTGGAAGTTGGCTGGACATCAAGGCAGCATTGACGATGATGTTTTAGCCCCGTTTAGCCGCTGTATGCGAGCTTTCGCGAGACGCCATGTATCCGACGACAAACTTCTGTATCGGTCCCTACTAGCAGCCTATGAAGAACTGATGCAGCTCATTCGCTCACACAAGCCGGATCCTTCAATATCTTCTAAGTCACCATTATCATCTATCTATCAAGTTTTGGGATCTACAGCTCATGCAGCGCGACAATACGATGGTGCGTGCTGTTGGTTTGAAAGCCTCAAGGCCACCTTAAGCCCGGAGTCGGACTCTGCTGTGGTATTGTGCTCTGTGTCCGCACGCATTCTTGCTACTGCTCTGAAAAAGCCAAAGTTGGATGATGACATTGAAAAGGCTATTCAAGAAGTCATCGACAGTCTGGAGGGTAGTCTTAGTGGCACTCTCACAGAGCTCAATGAACTGCTAGAAAGCCTCTCAGCTACGAGGCGATCCGTCGTGGGACTGTTGATGAAAGAGTTGGATCCTAAGGCAGTCTCTGATCCGATACCTCAGACAACAAGCACCCTATTGAACAACTTTGTTCTTCGATACCCACGATTCTTGAGACGATGGATAGGTACTGCCCCTGGAAAAGATGCTCCTGCGAAGCAAACCTTGCAGTTTGACCAGCGAAAACAAGCCGTCATGCAATCAATAAACCAGACACTAGACGCAACCTTAATGGTAGTCAAGTGTGGGATTCAATCTGGTGCTCTCGAATGGCACCAAATTGACGATGTCCTTCAGCATTGTTCGGGACTGCTCGACTCCATTTGCGATCCACTGCTCTCCCCTGCGAGAGTTGAGCAACTTGGGGGCTACCATGTTAAGATTTCCACTCTCTATTTTTCCAAGTTCATGGAGCTGCGAAAGATGAAGCACCGAACCAAGGACCTCAATAAACAGCTGTTACAGTCTCTAAGCAGATCCATCGACGCTGTCAAAGAGCGATCTTCCTCCCTAAAAGATAAGGCGCAGTTGTCAATGAAGCTGGAGCTGTTTGCCGACCTATGCAAGGGGTCTGGCCGAAGTGAGGATGCCGTTGGAACTCTCAGATCCATCTGCACTAACATGGCCGAAGATGGCGTTCTCTCTGATGTTGCTGCTGCTCTAGCATCGTTACCACCTACTCTTGCCTGGGCCACCACGGATAAAGCCTCTTCCCTATCGCGTACTTTGCGCTCAATAGCTAAGCTGGATAAATCTTGGAACGACTGGACTTTCTTCCTTCCTGAGGCTGAACGAGCGGCTGTACTTGAGCATCTTATGCATTTAAGCACTGAATCAGCAGGTCAGCGGGAACCCCTCCGCCTTCATGATCCTAGCCCGGCTGCGCTACTTCGAATCTATTCTTTGGATAAATATCCCATCCGGCGATTCCGAGTGTTACTTCACTTGCTGTATCAGAATATTGGAGAAGATGAGGAGTTGGCAGAAATTACATCGAACCTTGGTCAAGTTTCTCAACAGCTCCAGAAGAGAGACAAAGGAGAAGATGGGTCTCTCACACAATTTATTCCTCACCTCCAAGCATATCATTCTTCCTTGGCCGCCCTAGCCGATAGTGATAATGAGTTCCCTACTTCAGTCGTCAAGGGTAACATCACTTGCTGGAAGGCGATTCTTGGATCATATCAATCCAAGGATGATTTATACACCAAGATCGACAACCCACAGACATTGATTGACTTTTTGCAGACGCTCAACCATTTGGCTGATCTACGGGGAGAAACAGAGCTTCAAATTTCTATTTCGGAACTTTCCATTGCAATGGCCAAAGCTGTAGCTGAATACTCTGGATCATTCGATGATGGTTTGATTCTCCACAGCAGCCATCTTGCTATTCAATATATCGGCATTGGCAAGTTTTCTCAGGCATCCGGTGCACTCGAAGTCTCCAAAGAGCTCCTTGAACACAATGAAGGGGTATCGCAACGGGTTGTCGCCGACTTTTACTTATCACAAGCTGAGTACTACGCTGGTGTTGGAAGTCTGGACGAAGCGTGAGTAAAGCGTCCTCCTCATTTCTTGCAGTATCACCGCTAAAGCAAAGTGTAGATTGATTTATGTCAATAAAGCAAACGACATTTGTTACCAATCGTACTCATCATGGGCACAGTCCAAGTACCAAGCCAATTTGATGATTTCTTTGTCAGCCCTTATTCAGTCCACAGTCTCAATACAAACCGGCAATATCGAAGACGCTCTATCATCGATCCGAACTGGTGTTCGTACGTTGTCTCACGATTGGGCTAAGCTCGAAGCAGCATCGTCAGAACCCGACTCAAATATGTCCGGAAACCGCTTGATTGGTCTTGACCTAAAAACATCTCAGGTCAAAAGGACTGGCCCTCGGTTTTGGGGGCTCGCAGTACCATTGCTCCGCTGCCTCTTACATATATCATCTGTGTATGCGCATATTGGAATGTTTCAGGAGACCATTTACTATGCCGAATCTGCATGGAAAATAGCGCAGAGCACACAATCCTCTCTCTACTGTGCGCAAGTCACCGCGTGGACCGGGTCTATATATCTTAAGGCAGGAAACATAACAAAAGCTATTGAAACTTTGGCGGATGCACAGCGTCACATTCCCAGCAATATTTGCTCCTCGCGTGTGCACTTTGCTCGAAAGCTTGGCGAGCTATATTCCGAAATAGGGGACGAAGACAAAGCTAACGAATATCTAACAATGGCGGAAGAGACTCTGCGATTGATGGACAATAATCCCGGTAATTCTGTTTGTATTGAAAAGTCGGCTGCGCCTATGGAAAAGGCAAAGACAACCGCCGCGAAAACCTCACGGACTGCACGAACTGCCAAAGCCAAGCCCGCATCTGTTACGCGACCTACCAGGCGACCTGCAACAACAAAGGCCCAGGCAATCACAGCCGAGGCGGTAGCTCAACTCCCCAAAGATATTTACCAATCATCATTACTTGCCGCAGTTCTTCTTTCCAGGGCAATTGGATACATACAAAAGAAGGATTGGTCTTCCGCCTTGTCAACTTTGGACCAGGCAAAGGAATTGCCGAAGCTATTTGGAACTCTGTCCTTGGAGCAGATTGTCACCGCAACGTCCCTCATCGGCCATAGCATGGAACAGATGATTTCAGACCCGGTCTTTTCTGTAATGCAAGACTCTACAATTTCGTTTCCTGCCGTAGCTAGCAGCGCAGGGAGGGCCTCCATGGACAAGAACAACCTTGTTGCGTCGCCCCCCCGCCGTGGACGCGCTGCAGCCGGTGACAGGAAGACAGCCAAAGACAAATCTGGACCGGCGTTTGCAGACGCCCTCCGACAGGCTCAAGATATATTGATTGAAGCACATGCGTCTACCTTGTCGACATCTGATAGTGGTATGGTGCACCGGCTTTCAACATTGTTACAAAGCACCATTATCCTACTGTCTGCTACATCTGCTTCCAAGACGAAGCCCGTCCTTTCATCTGGCCTCGCCACAGTAGCAGTGGACTTGGGCCGCAACATTACGTGGACACGAGAGCAAATTACCCTTTTGAATACGTTACGACCCCTGGGGGCCAGTCTGCCTTCTGTTCCCGACGACCCGCCAACCTCGCTTCGCAAAACTATTATGAGTCTCACTCCGGATATGGCTGCGTTTCAAAAGAATTATGTAGACTTGTTGCCTAATAACTGGAACGTCATTTCTCTCTCATTGAGTGACAGTTCCCGTGATCTTTCTATTACCAAGTTACAGGCTGGACACAGTCCGTTCATTTTACGCCTACCGCTGGAGAGAGCCAACTCTCGCGATGCTGACGCTGAGGTGTTTAATTTTGAACATGGACGTGAGGAACTTCTCGATATCATTAAACTTGCCAACGAGACCAGTCATTCTGCGCGTGACTTTTCAGCAAAGGGCGAGCGAAGCGCTTGGTGGGCTGAACGCGAAGCACTGGATACCAGACTGAAGGACCTCTTGTCGACGGTTGAATCGACCTGGTTGGGAGGATTCAAAGGTATCTTCTCTCAGCACCAAAGAAGGACAGATTTATTGGCGCGCTTCCAGAAAAGTTTCCAGCAAATCCTTGATGGAAGCCTTCCATCTCGAAACCGAATACGTGGCAAGAAGACGACTAAAGCATCGTCTGTTAATCTTGATCCCAGAATTCTCGACCTTTTCATCGGCCTTGGCGACCCAACTCATCCGGACTGCGACTTTGATGAGGCTCTGAACGACTTGCTTTACTTTGTCGTAGATATTTTACAGTTTCACGGGGAGAGGAACGCATACGACGAGATTGATTTCGATGCCATGGTTGTCGAGACATATGATGCCCTTCGAGGATATTACTCGGCCTTGAACGCGGGCTCAGAGCGACAGGAAGGCTCTCACACTATCCTCATCTTAGATAAGGCCCTGCATGCCTTCCCGTGGGAATCGCTGCCTTGCATGGAAGGGCTGGCGCTATCCCGAGTTCCGTCACTTGCCTGTCTACGACAACTCATTACAGAATCCAACACGCAGGGGGCCGAGCCCGAACTCCAAGAGGGGCATTGTGTTTCTCCCAAAGCTGGAACCTATATCCTCAATCCATCCTCTGATCTGAAGAACACACAGGCTTTCTTTCAGTCTACATTCGAGACTCTCAAGAGCTGGGACGGGATTGTCAACAAAACCCCGCAAGAATCTGAATTCGAAGACGCTCTGTCAAAATCAGAGATTTTGCTCTACTTTGGACATGGCAGTGGTGCGCAATACATCCGCGGCAAGACAGTTCGACGGCTGGAGAAATGCCGGGCAACTACGTTTCTCATGGGCTGCAGCTCAGCGGCACTTACAGAAGCCGGGGAGTTTGAGTGTTATGGCCCTGTGTGGAACTACATGATGGCAGGTTGTCCTGCGGTGGTGGGCACGCTTTGGGATGTGACAGATCGTGACATTGACCGTTTCGCGGGCCGGACTTTTGAAGAATGGGGACTGTTTGCTCGTGGCACATTCGAAAAGGGCGATAGGAAGAAAGGTAGAGGTAAGAAAGGCGGTGTCAACGACGTAGACACGGACAGCGGTGATGATGATATCGACTCGGAAGCACCGTCACGTCCAACGTCGCCGCGACTGGCAAGGGGTTCTTCGCTTCCCGAGGCCGTGGCTAAAGCTCGAGACGCTTGCAAATTCAAATACCTGAACGCAGCTGCGGTTGTTGTTTACGGTATCCCTGTATACATCAATCGTGAAGGCTGAAATGGTGGTTCATTTTTTTTTTCTGTTTGTTTTCTCTCTCTACATGAGACATGTATACCCTATTTTGGAGTTTGATGGGTGCTTTGGGAAGAATGTACAGGGCTGAGCGGCCATGGATTATAGGTCAACGGGCGGTGCTGCATAGCCATGGTGTTGAAGGATGCATACAATATTAGATCCAATCACAATTCGTCATGCTCTTGTGTTTGCCAAGAATATGCCCTTGGCCCGTCAGGGTTTCATGTGGATATCTTTCCAGGGTAGAGTTCGTACCTGGACTGTTGTTGGTCATTTAATGCGAATATGCTGGGGAGGTTTTGTCGCTAGAAGTATAGTAGTAGTACCTTACAATCAAGAGTTGCACTGCAAGGATTCCGGAAATTTAAGACCAGTTCCGAGGCTTTGGGCAGAAGACGAGGTTGGTGACAGTCGAGATGGCCCACGGGGACTTCATCCGTTGTGAAGGCATGAATGGATTGTATGCGGGTTTATGATGTACGTATGTATGTATCGGACATGTAAAAGGCCACCAGTGCGCCTCGACGACATGCAGGGATCGCCTTTGTTGCCATCATGATGATGATGATGATGATGACTACAGCATGCACACGAGTTGTGGCAAAATGTGGATTGATCAGCAAGTAACATAGGTAGGTAGTCTTGTAGGCTCGGGATGACCGTAATGAAAGTGCCTTGATGGCCAGTACCGCCGAGTCAAACGCACCATGTCAAGGTTTTAGATTGTGTCGCGCTTCGTGCCGTCCAAGGGCTTCCGCGGAGATGGGCTGTGTGAAATTTCAATGTCCCTTGACATTGTGCCACCCGCGCCCACCACCAACCAACTCGCGATACTTGGCAATAGACGCCGTGGCGGATCCCATTCTTTGGCGAAGGGGCCTCTTTGCTGGGCCGTTGGAAACTTGTGATAGGACCTAGAGTATGCACAACTACAAGAAATGCATTGGCGGCCCTGTTGTGAAACGCGCCAATTGCCTTGAAAGAGCTGGCGACTGGTGTTGTGTGCTGCGTGTATAATGCGTGCCCGTTTGGATAACATGACGCATCGACAGCAACGGGGGGTCCGAGTTTGGGGAAATGCATTGATGGCGAAGTTACATGTGCACGTACAATGGCCCATGGTGGTTGCTGCCCTGTCTTGCGATGAGGAGCGGAGGGCACGGAGAAGGATGGACAACAACATGGCATGAAGCACACGGGCGAGCAAAGATGAGCCCGGAGTCCGGAGCGCAGCATGTTTGAAGTTTAAATGGCGTCACTTCTGGGGGGGCCCTGGATCAGAATGCTTCCCCGGCAATAGGGCCATGACATGGCCTCTGGGGTTTTTTCTTTATTTTTATAAACCCGAATAGCAGCAACTACTAGTTAGTACTCCGTAGTACAACTCGTCATCTCGTACGTGGAGTTGGGGATTGGAGAGGGTATCAAGGACTTGGCTCCCCTTGCTTCCCCCTCCAGAGCCAGGCCCAGGGAAGGAATTCTGCTGTCCACGCTGGAATTAGTTTCCCAGCTTTAAATGTCGGCGGATGGCCTAGTCCTATGGCGCACCATGATGGTGTGACGACAATGTGGAAATGTCTTAGTTCGGCCAACTCCCTGCTGGACAGCTTGACGAAGCGGCGGGTCCCATCAATGCCGGACGAGCAAAAAAAAAAGAGGAGGGTTGTATAGCGAGTGGGCGAAGGCAGCGACTGCAATTAGGACCGGACTGGCTCGACCTGGCTATTGCTTGAAAGTTGGCAGATGAAGCGAAGATTTGCGTCAAGGTGAGTGAGAGAGAAAGAGAGAGAGAGAGAGTCTAGGCGCAACGCCGCGATGTTCGAACGGGCCGTTGTTGATTTCCCAATCCCCCATGCGCAACCCGCGGCGGGGTACTGGAGTCATCAATACATAGTTAGTTACTATTACAGGGCTGGGATGTAGTTGCAATGAATTTACCTAGCTCTACAGAGTAGTAGTACTAGTTAGCAGGCAAGCTAGACACCTGGTCCTGGTCCTTGATTTGGTTCGAGGCGCGAGATGGAGTCCCCGAAAGCCGTTGAACCAGAGCACCGGGAGGGCGAACCTTGCCAACAGCCAGACGGGAACAATGTTCTTGTCTGCGCCTTTTTTTTTCCCTTTTCCTTCTGAACACGCTGCAGCTTGCTCCCTCGTGCATGTATGTATGCATGTGTACATACATATGTATGTGCTTGACGCGCCGATGTGCGACGAGGCTCAGCGACGTGTTGGGATTTATCGCTGACGGCGGCGAGAGGGCTCTGTAATCTGCGTCGTTTTCTTTTCTCGTTTTCTTTTCCAACGGTTTTCTTGGCCCAGTGACAGGGCGGACTGGACTACCGTCTGTTGGTCTTTCTCCAAGCCAAAACTTGAGATGTGATACATCTTTGCAAAAATCACAGTGCAGGCAACTTGAAGACACGCTGAGTTGCCGAGGGAATTGCTGGAGCCTAGGGGTGGAATTAGTTATAAGAGGAGAGAACAACAGGTGAGACAAGATGTTGACCTGTTTCCGCCGTTGCCATCATACTATCCTACTGTACTCTGTAGTTGCCGTCTATTCTATGGCGGTTATCCAACTGTTGTCCATTGAACTGCGGTCCTTTCAAGCCGCGACGTGATGGTGCACATCTTTGTATATAATCTTGGTTGAGGCCTCGGCATGCAGAGATATTACTCAACTTGCCTCGTCTCGCAATCTTATCGCTGTCCACTTTCGTCATCCTCGGAAGGAAATTAGAAAAAAGGAAAATTTGAATTCTCTTTGTTGTTTATGCTCCCCCTTGCCGCCGAGGGAATGCCCATGAGGGCCCCTTCTCCTAATCAAAAGCCATTACCGGGTGGTCATCGAATCAAAGGGGTAATTCTCCAATTCCAATCAGTATACGGAGTAGGTTGCGATATCAACAGTCCCTGATTCTGGTGTATTGGATTTGTCACTCTGATCTGCCTCATAGTAACGGGAACTGCCTTGGAGAGGGTACTCATTACGACTAAAAGACCAAGCAGTTATGGTTCAAGTTGATAACCGTCAAGTGCGGTCCTGACTCTCGGAAACCAAGTCAAGAACCAGACTGCAGCTGGAGTCAAAGAAAACTCAAACCACCATATTAGTTCACCAAACACCAAAACTTCTGCTCTTGGGTAGGTAGGTTTGCCGAATGTACCTGAAGGGTTTGAACTGGTCGGCTTCCTTCTTTATATAGACAAGATTGATTTCCTGTTTCTGGCCAATCAGGAGGCGGGGACGTGTTGAATCCTCCCATTATAAATGCGATACTTTCTATACTTTTGCAACGTGAGAACTTGTATGGAGTGTGCGTTGATATCTTTCCAAGTGACTGTTTGGCACAGGTGCGAGTTTCGGGTCGAACCCAAGACAGGATACATCGTAGAAGCCACCTATCTCTACTCCATCCGTACCTGGTCTGAAGTTTCAGAGGACTTATTTCGTCTACTGCCAGGGGGAGCCCTGTCTTTTGCCACGATGCAGTAAAGGAGTTGCTAGATCGTCCCGTAGCTGGCTAGTACTATTGACCAGGGAGTGGAAGCCCGGTGTTTGAGACAGAAAGTAAGTGAAGCCGAGAGCGATGTCGGACAAAAAAATTGTAAATTTTGCCAGTCCCGTCACTCGTCGACAGGGCTGAGGCTGTGCTTGAAACCTTGTGCAATGATTTGTCCCTATACTACCTCGGTGCACGCCTGACTGGCAAACGAGTCGTTGCCAACAACGCATTCTCGCACGACCGTTTCGTTTCCCAATTGAATTCGACGAGTCATCTGTGACGGAGCCGCGACGTTGGTGCCGGCCAGCCTCAGCACGATTCTGTAACTTGCATGACTTGTGGCGCAGGCAACGCATAACGCTCTGATCATTTCGCCAAGTTCTCGATTGGGAGGTTGTTGCTTTTCTTTGCAGTGGTTCCAAATGTTTGACGGATATGAAAACGAGACTCTTTCTATTATCGTAAATTGCGATTCGTTTTCGTTCATTGTCCAGGTGAATGCCCTTGTGGATACCCAGGTTGCTCCATGGCAAATGATGGGTGACATGTCAGAATGGGAGATCCCGTTGGACAGAGTGACGCTGCCTGCATTGTATGTACGCACAGCCGGCCTCATTTGGGGCAATATCTCAGGGAGGGCCGGCTGGAACTGATATGCCAGTACGATTGGTGCGCACGAGTCTGGTGCATGGAAGACGGATCGGCCTTGTGTTTGTTGGACAGAAACCAGAGAGTCTGGCTAAGAAACCAGGGCAAGCACTTAGTTGTCCAGTTACATGTAATTATGGAGTACGTACACCGTGATCGAAGAGATTGGCAAACTACGCCATTATTGTACATCGCATTGCATGGCATTGCAACCGGGGAATGCTCAGGGTCAAAGCGGCCAAACTAATTACACGTTAGTGAATAAGACCAATTTTTTTCCTGGCGCAATCCGGGGGTCTCCATACGTGTTCGGCTCCGTACGCGAGGAACCGCAGCCTGCATTGTCTAATATGCTATGAGCCACAACATGCTGCAATCCAGAACTCGGAGGCCTTCCAAGACAGACATAAGACAATGCCCTAATTTGACCTCTGTGTCGCACTCTCGAACCCCCGGGGTGCTATTCGAATCCTGCCCGACTGCCCAAGATATCGCGGAATCACACTCCAAGGTAGCATCCTCGCTACCAAACACGCAGGACGGACGCATGTACAATATCTTTGGTTGGTTTTTCCACTGTGCTAAATATAACCGGGTGCGGTACTAGCAGTCCGTTAGTCCGTGTACCATAATGTACGTTACATACGGATAGGGGGAGATGTATATTCGAACCCTCGCCGTGACAGGTCAACTGGTAATATGTATGTAGTACTAGTACTCCGTACTACTACTCTCTTATGCCGGGCGACAGGCAAAATTGACTTTCGCTTGTGGAGATCAAGTGCCGCAAGTCTCATCCCTGCTCTGGCCCGTCTGTGACACTATCCT